ATATAGTTTATCCTTAATATCCTCCTTTAATCTATTATAGAACAGCTATATTAAGCCTTCCTTATTAATACTAGCCCTAACGGTATCTTATTAGAATATTATAATATAAGTCGAGGCTAACTTAGTCTACTAGAGTCGAACAAATCTGTCCTAAGTATAGACCTTCTTATCCTAGTCCCTAAATACCTTCCTTAATTCATTCTAGAATTCGTCGAAGTCGTTAAAGACCTTCTAGGTATATAGTAGTATATCGTCGACGTTTTAGTATAAGATATAATCCTTAAGAGTTGGCTTAAACTAGTATATAGTTTAGCTAGTAAGTCTTAAAGCTCTGAACTAGGCTTTAGTACCTTCGTCCGAGAAACGAACGTTGTAGTATTTGATATAGGACTTTAGCTCCGTAAGAAACCGAGCAAGGTCTTCTTTTTTTCCGTCGAACTTTTTAGGGGTATCGATCTTGATTTTAGCTTTCTAGACATTATCGAACTTACCGGTATATTCGTTAATTAGGTCCTAGTAGATCTTAAAGTCCTTCTCGAGCTCCTTGATTTTATCCTAAAGGGCCTTAATAATATTATTAAGTTCCTCCTATATAAAGACTACAATGTTATTGTCTATAGTGTCGAATACCTTCGTCTAAACTATAATAGAAACAAAGGGAATAAGCAACGTATAACGGAACGTCTTTTAACTATACTCTAAAAGGGTTTACTAAAGGTAATTATAAGGGTTATATTCTAGTAAAGCTAAAGGGTTTACAACAAGATAGTAATTTGGTCTTAATATTTATAGTAATTAGTAGCGAATAAGTTATATTACTTACTAAGGAAGTCCTAGACTCCTTCAACGAGTGACTAGCTAGCTATCTTTATACCTAGAGATTCCTTTATTCCCGAGGTTCCTTTATACCTGGATCTTATAGATCTCAACGAGATCCCGCTAAGTCAGTTGGCTCTCAGGATATCTTTGTAGATCCGTATTGTTGGATCTCATAGATCTCGAAGAGATCCCGTCGAGCCTCTCCTGATTGGTTACGTAGTGATTGGCTGGTGGTGCGTCCTGCGCCCCACCTGTATATGCCTTGGGCTGCCTTCTGCAGCCTGGTTCGTGACACTACCTATATTTCCTCCTTAATCTATACCTTAACCTCTTTCTAGCCCTATAAATCCTATATATTCTATATAAAGAGTGATCCTCCTTATTAGAGCTATTGTTTTTTAGCCCTCCAGTATTTATTAAGTACCTCATTTACTACCTATAAGTCCTAGATCTTTATTTATATTAACGCTATCTTATATATAATCTTTAATATACCTTTTATAAGGATATCAACTACCTTTAAAATCTTGGTTAAAGAGCTATTTTGATACTAAGTAATTCAATTCTTAATAAAGGTAGACTATAAAGAGGCTTCCGTTAGGTTATTTAAGGTCTTAAAAACCTAGGTATAAGTACTACTTAGCTATAAATTCAAGGGCATTAATGTCTTTAGATAGATATCGAGCTAAAAGATCACCTTCTCGGTATTAAAAGGAACAAGTCTAGTACCTCGAAAACCTCCTTAAATATTTTCAGGGGTTAGAGTAGCCTAGAAAGTAGTATAGAATATAGGAAAGAAGTCCTCCTTAGTAATATAGACTATACTTACCTATATTATCCCCTTAATCTATTTACTATATATAGTCTTAAGTAGGCTAAAATATCTAATATTGAGTAACTAGAGGATATAAGATAAGTAGGGAGGTATATAGAGTATAATAATGTTATTCTCCTTATAATAGAGCTCGAAGTCAGTCGAGTAGTAGCTATTATAGCTATTAAAGATAAGGAGGCAATAAACCCCAGCTGTTCAAGCTTTAGTATACTTATCGAAGTGCTAAATCTATTCTAGGCCTCTCTCGTTGGTTGTCTAACTATTCTTAGATATCGCAATGACCTAGTCCTTCCGCAATAGGTTATTTTTATACTAAGAGGAGAGGTAATTCCTACCTTTGACGATAATAAATGGCGGGATTACCTAGCTAGTTACATTAACGCCCTAGATCACTATTGCCTACTTATGATTACCAGGCTGCTTCGACTTTGCTCTACTATACCGTTCGGAGCTTATAATAAATATTGTAGTCGAGATAACGCCCATCTGAAACCCGGTCTCGTCGAAGTTGTAGATATCTGCCTCCTAGATACCGTACTTCGCGATCGTGTTCCATATAAGCGCAAACCAACTATAAATAATCTCTGGATCTTTGTATTGGGCCCTCTGGTAGTCGTATTTCCAATTAAAATATATGGTGAGCTCTAGGTGCTATTTGACAAAGTTGTATACCTAGCATATTCTGACGCGTTGTACGTTACATTCAGCAAGCAGTCGATTGGCCATATCTTCTATACCAGATAGGCGGAGAGGGAATCCTTTAGAATCTAGGTCGAGGATATATTAAACAATGACAGATTCTTCTAAATCGGTTAATTTCCTTAAATTAGCTGCAATATTACGTCGAGATTATATACTACGTTAGCGGCGGCTGAGCTTCTCGTGATCTACATCGTAGATCTTGCCAGCGGCTTGTATGCTTAGCTTCGGGTCATTTTACATTGCCTGGAGGGCCAAGAGTACTTGGGCTTCATCGTTTTTCGGGGGCATATTGCGCTATAAAGGAATTTGGGAAAGAAGGTAGAAGATATATATATACGATTCCCTATAATATTCGCTTGTCTATAACATTCGCTTATTATATACGTTATCTATAATGTGGTTTATCACTGAATAACCTATATCACCGAATGACCTACGAAATTATACCGATATAACAAAAAACTATTATAATTCTACCAAAACAGCTCAAAACAAATGAAACTACTCGGAATCATCTTCCTTAGATGTTACTACTACTATCTGACAGGTATACACATTATAGCCTGGCTCGCCGTAGTTGCTACAACGCTATATATATGTCTTAGCCCTCGGCTTCCGACTACTACCTGCCTATGTTTCCTCCCTTATCTATACCTTAATATCTCTCTGGCCCTATAGATCCTATATATCCTATAGAAAGCGATCCTCTTTATCGGAGCCGTTGCTTTTTAGCTCTCCAATGCTTGCTAAGTGCCTTATTTGCTACTTAGAGGCTCTAGATCTCTGCCTTTAATAATGCCACCTAATATATAACTTTAGATATCCCTTTTATAAAGATATCAACTGCCTTTAAAATCTTAGTTAGAGAGCTATTTTAATACTAGATAATTCGATTCTTAATAAGAGTAGACTATAAGGAGACCTTAGTTAGGTTATTTAGGGTCTTAGAAACCTAGGTATAGGTACTGCTAGGCTACAAGTTCAAGGGTATTGGCGTCTTTAGTATTACAGGCTCGGGCAAAGCCCGAGCCGGTTGTTTACAGGCTGCTGCCCGGACAGGAGGGCTCTTTCCCAGGGCCGGCCCGGCCCCGGGAAGGAGCACTGTTGCGCACTCCCTATTGAAAAGGCGGTGCCAATGAGTTTCTGTAACTTTCTCTCTTTTTCTTCCTTAGATCGTCTTAATAATAATTTATACGCCTGATACATTCTATCCTCAGGGCTAGTATATAATATTTAAGACGATCTTAGATAATAGCTACCCCCTCTGACTTAGGTCCTTTAGCTAAGGCCCCTATAATAGTTGATATAGACTAGCTATATAAGTACCTATAAGGCCTATAGGCAACGATTAAATACTAGAATAGCTAGATCTAGGCTCTATAGGTAGCCTAAATGTCAATAATAGGTTTGACGCCGGCAATAGGAAGCCTATCTAGGCCTCTGTTTATGTGACGAATCTCTCTAGACCCAACTCTGAAAGGGTTCGTCGGGCGAAGGTAGTAACGATAGTCAATAGATTCGGTGAAGCCAAAGGGTGGATAACAAGTGTACAAGCAAATGTTTCAATAGTAGGTATAGACAACTACTTGTATTGCTTACTGGAGAACTCCTAGAGCTCTCTAGAACGAGTGACTATATACTACTGTTTCTACTAGCTCGCTACTGCTTGCCAGCTACTATAGTCTATTCTGATTGCCTTAGATAGCTATCTACCTAAGTCTATCTTGATCGCTAATGCTCGCTAGCTACCTAGAGCTACCCTAGGTCGCCATTATACAACCGCCTATAGCCTTACTACTGTTTATTGGTTACACTACCTCTACTATACCCTACCAGGCCTTACTATATAGTTGGTTCATAATACGATGCTCCTCCTTCTTGTCTTTTCGTCCCGAAAGACCTAGGGCTCTTAAAACAACTATATCTTAGCGCCAACACTGTTCGTTGCCTATATAGGTTTTCTTCTTTTCTATCGCTATCTATCCTTAGCTATATCTAACCTTAGGAACTATAGTTCCTATAACTTGAAACGTAAGCGTTATACTTTTATAACGAAAATCGAACAATCAGGCTTCAAGGTCGCTATACCTTACGAATATTACTAGAATATAAAACCTTAGAGGCATTATATTATAATAGAGGGTTCGAATAAATATTCGAGTTATATTTAGATAGGTAAGAAGTATAGCGGTCCTAATGTAGCTAGCATCTATAAGTATTATATTTTCTATAGTCATAATTTTTTTTTTTTAACAAGTGTCGTAGTATTGTCTAATCTAGCGGAACAAGAAAAAATAACGAAAGATATTGAGGAGATAGAGTAGGTACTATCTAAGACCTTAAGTCGTTTATCTCGTCTTTATACTTAACAATATTCCCTCTATAACTATAGTATAGAGATATTTTATCAGGGAATATCTTATTTAGAGGAGGAGGAAGAGCCTGATTCTCTAAAGCCGATATTAGAAGAATAGGCTTTAGTTAGCTAGGTATAGTCGTTAGGCACCTTTAGGGTATTAGACTAGGAAGCTATTAGTACTATTCTCTATAGTTCTATAGGGTTCAATTAGTAGTCTCCCTTTCCTTCTAACGATCCGCTCCTTCCTAAGTGAGTTCCTTCTTTTAGGTTTTTAATAAATGAAATGGTTATATAGTATAGTAGTTAGTATATATATCTTCTACTATAGGTACTCTCTTATAACGCCTTATAGGGGAGTATCTCTTTAAGTTATATAAGATTATAGGTTCGAATCCTACTATAATTGTTTATACTCTTTAGGTTTACCTTATAGTAGTCCTAAAGGCTATAATTTTATAGCTTTTATAAGTATTGACTTATTGTCTAATTCTTCTTCCGACCCTTTTACTATACCTAGTCCTTCTTCTCTAGTATTGTTAGTCGATCAGGGTTCTACTAGTAGAACTCCTGAAGTTTCTTAGGGCAGTTAAGATTAGTAGTAGGTTACTATAAGTTATCTTCTAGCCTAAAATCCAACTATTTAACCAAATACTCTAATTGCCCTTTAGTAATTTATAAATCCAGAATTTCCTTAATATCTTATTCTTCCTCCTTATCTTCTACCTCGGTATCTTTATCAAGTTATACGTTCTTAGATACTAGTTCTACAAGTAAAATATAGAAGATATTAGTTTATAGTTGTATTATTAGAGGTAATATAAGAGTATAATTATTTACTGAAATCTTATTATTGACTTTAAATAGTCTGATCTTTCGAAAATTAAGCTTCTTACTTAGCTACCTTATTCAAAGATTCTATAAAATAAGATAAACTTTATCTCCCTTCTCTAAGTAAGGTCCTTTAAGCCTTTCTTTATTATAGAACCTTTTTATTTATATTCTTATAAACTTAAGTTCTTCCTTAAGTATTATATATAGTAAACCTATCTTATCGGCTTTAACTACTACTTTTAGGACTATAATATCTAGTCCTTATTATAGGTCTAGTTTATAGTTAAAGTTAGTGAAGAATAGTATAACTTTAGTAGTTTCTATAATAGTAGTATTATAGGTAATCTATACTACTAGTAATAATTCTACCTAGTTGTCCTATTAGAAATTAATATATAGTTAGAGGTACTATTCAATAATCTAGTTAAGTCATTCTATCTATCTATCTATCTATAGGTAATATACTATTAAAAGCTTACTCTTTATACCTAACCTTATTATTAAAGCTTACTAGAACTTTAAGGTAAACTTTAGGTCTTAGTCTATAATCTATTTATCTAGCTATCTATATATAGAGGTAATATTCTAATAGATTATATCTATAAGTTATTCAGCTATCTAGGACTCCTTATATAGGAGGAAGTAACTCTACTTAGTAAGTTAGTCGACTATAGTAAGTATACTATTATATTCTACTTCTATTATTATATTCTTAGATTCTAGTAGCTTAATAATAAAGTCTATTATTACTAAAGTCTATAGTCGTTCTATAACTAGTAGCGGCTATAGGAGACTATATACTAGTCGTTTCCCTATTTTTTATACCCTTTATTATTAGTATCCTCGTTACTAGTATTATCTACCGACTAGGCTTAGTCTTCTCTAAGGTTATCGTTCTTAGCTACTCTATTATACTTAGCTTTATAGTTACTATAGCTATAACTAGATACTACTACTAAAATCGTATATATTTATCGATCGTAGTGGTTTCTTTACCTAGGATAGGTATCCATTTCTTCAAGAGGCTATAGTATTCTCGTTTAATATATCCTTTCTTACTATAGTTATAGTAGATAATATTCGACTTATCTTTTAAAGTCCCCTTCTTTCCTACCTATTATACCTGGTTAACGTTGATATCTATAGCTCTAAGGTATATACTATAGGTAGTACTTTTACCTTTTCGCTTCTTACCTTAGTTAGCCTAATTATCCCCTTTTCTAGTACTAAAGATAATCTGTCTTTAGCCCTTCTTTTATTACTTCTAGATATATAGGCGATCGTTAATTTAAATAGCCTTAGTAATATACTTATTAAGGGTTAAAGGTTAGTTTTCCTTATATAGCTTATCTTTAACTTCCTCTTTAAGTCTATTATAAAATAACTATATTAGGCCTTCCTCATTGATATTAGCCCTAATAGAGTCTTATTAGAATAGGGTAATATAAGTAGAAGCTAATTTAATCTAATAGAGTTAAATAAGCTGATCCTATATATAGATCTTCTTATCCTAATCTTTAAATACCTTTATAAGTTCCTCCTTAAACTAGTTATAGTTATTAAATATATCTTTAGTAAACTATTTCTAGTTTAAATAGGTCTTAGTAATATAGTCTTTAAAAGTAGGTTTAAACTATCTAGTAGTATAGTCCTTAAGTTATAAGGCTATATATTGAGTTTTAGTATCCTTATCGGAGAATCTAATATTATAGTATTCTATATATAATAATATTTCAGTAAGGAAGTATAAGAGATCGTCTTATCTTCCATTATACTTCTTAAAGGCCTCGATTTTAAGCTTAGCCTTCTCGATATCGTTGAACTTATTAGTATATTCGTTAATAATATCTTATTAGATTTTAAACTCCTTTTCAAGTTCCTAGATCTTACCTAATAGGGCTTTAAAGGTAGAAGGAATATCGTTAGGGGTATTATCAGTTATATTAACGTTAGAGTCGCCTATAGTATCGATTATACCTTTGTCCTGAACTATAATAGAAATAAAGGGAGTAAGCAATATATAACGAATCTCTCTAGACCCAACTCTAAAAGGGTTCGTCGGGCAAAGGTAGTAACGATGGTCAATAGATTCAGTGAAGCCAAAGGGTTTACAATAAGTATATAAACAAATATTTCAATAGTAGGTATAGATAACTGCTTATATTGCTTACTAGAGAACTCCCAGAGCTCTCTAGAACCAGTGACTATATACTACTGTTTCCACTGGCTCGCTGCTGCTCGCTAGCTACCGTAGTCTATTCTGATCGCCTTGGATAGCTGTCTACCCAAGTCTATCTTGATCGCTGATGCTCGGTGGCTATCTAGAGCTACCCTGGGTCGCCCTCATGCGACTGCCTGCAGCCTTGCTGCTGTTCATTGGTTGCGCTACCTCTGCTGCGCCCCACTAGGCCTTGCTATATGGTTGGTTCGTGACAGTTTAGGCTTAAGTGTAGGCTAAGGTGATAAGAATAAGAATTGTGTATCTTCCTGTGTACTTTTCAACTCTGTCTACCTTACTGTAATATTCGCTGTATCCAGCCAAGCCTAACGTACCCTATATAGAAGCGGCCGACCAAGTTCTTCTGCCTATATGTAAAGAACTCCTCTGCCTAGTGCTGCCGCTATAGACCGTCCTACTACTTGACTAGGAGAAGTGTTGTAATGTCTGATGGCAGCTAGGGAAACGATGCTTCGTTTATGAGGTTTTCCAACGAATTCGTCCATAGACGAGCACTTCCTTAGGTGCTGTGTTCAAGGTGGTACGTTGCCTGACCCTGGCCTATACGTAGGTGTACCTGTATAGTGCCTATAATTGTGCACTGAGCACCAGAGCGTACTGGAACTGGCAGCATGGCGCGAGAATCATATAGAGTACAGCAGGGTATAGAATCATATACCTAGCACGACGATAGACGGATCTTTGTCATCCCCCAGCAACAAAAATCAAACGGGCAAGCTTCAAAAGCTGGAGCCAGTTGGCTCCAAGCCTCAGTTTACCTGTCTCCTACCCCGCTTCTTGAGACGGTGGCGGGCTGCAGCCCTGTAGTCTCGGACAGGATCTACACCTATAGGCTTAACTGGATATAGGACTCGGCCTTAGCTGGTGTATTACTGCCTACCAGCCTGCGTTAACGTTGGTTTGTTGTTGCGGGCTGACGACCAACACGTCGGGCCGACGCACGGACCAGCCAAGCAGCCTCCAATCAAGGGCTGGCATAGGAGTGATCGGCAGATCGATGGAACGATCGCGGGATCACTCAAAACGCCAAGAACAAGTGATCGATAGATCGTAGAGCGATCACCATGATCAAGGTACAAGGTACTTAGGAACACTCTCTACTCAGATAGTATATATAGCCAAACGGTCTAGAGGGCTGGGGAAGCTCTCCAGTAAGTAATATAACTTGTTCGCTACAATTGCTCAGACCTAGTGAATATTGAGACTAGATTATTATCTTGTTATAAACCTATTGGCTTTACCGGATTATAACCCTTATATTATACCTTTAGTAAACCCTTTTAGAGTGTAGTTGAAAGACAATCCGTTATATGTTACTTACTCCCTTTACTTCTATTATGGTTTAGACGAAGGTATTTAACATTATAAGCGATATCGACTTCTAGATACCTTCCCCGGAGGAAGAACTTTAGAATACTATTAAGGCCTTCTAGGATAAGATTAAAGAGCTTAAGAAGGACTTTAGAACCTATTAGGACCTGATCAACGAATATACCGGTAAGTTCGACGATGTCGAAAAAGCTAAAATTAAGATTAAAGTACCTAAAAAGTTCAATAGGAAGAAGGAAGATCTTATATAATTCTTTATAGAGTTAATATCCTATATTGAATACTATAATATTTAGTTTATAGATAAAAGCATTAAAGCCTATTATATAGTTTTAAAACTTACTAGCTAAACTATTTAATAGTTTAAACTAACCCTTAGGGATTTTATTATATATTAGAACGTCGACGATATACTGTTATATATCTAAAAGGTCTTTAACGACTTTAAGGAATTCTAGAACAAGCTAAAGAAGGTATTTAGGGACTAAGACGAAAAAGTCTACGTTTAAGACTAACTAACCTGACTCTAATAAACTAAGTTAGCCTCGTCTTATACTATATTATTTCAGTAAGATTCTATTAGGGCTGGTATTAACGAAGAAGGCCTAATATAGCTGTTCTACAATAGATTAAAGGAGGATGTTAAAGATAAATTGTATAAGGAAGATCGACCTTTAATGTTTAACGAATATATCATTAAAGCTATCTATATCGATAACTATCTTTATATAAGGAAATAGTAGAGGAAGGGCTAATAGAGGCTAATTATTAGAGGAAATTGTATTAACGAAGGAAAGAAACGATATAGAAGTATAGCCTATAGTATTTAACCTAGACCTATAGAAGTTAATATAGTCTAAACTAAATAGGTAAATAAATACCTATATAATAAGTCTATTATTATTTATTATAACTATAGAAAGAAGGGTTATTATAAATATAAATATAAGGGATTAAAGAAATAGGGATAATAGACTTTAGTATTAGGATAAAAGGCTCCTATTATT